TAGTACTATCATTTCTGGTGAGACAGGAAAGGGCCACATTCCAACTCACACAAGCAACAAGCCTGTGTATCCTATTCAGGCCTCCATCTGACTGGACAAAGCTTACTGAACCAGCTAGGGCCCCCTGCTTTACTCAAGTCTACCAATTTCAAAGTTAATCTCATCTCAAAACATCTTTGCAAGTATGTGAGAATGTCTAACTAAATGTGTAGATACAGTGGCCTAGGCAAGTTGATTGGAAGCAAGCCTTCAACCCAGCATGAAAATCAGCCTGGCTATTCACTGTTCAAAGAAACTTTCCCCCTACCGCACTCAAGGGTCAAAGAAACATATTATCCTAAAGACCAGAGCTGGAGGAGTATAGTGAGTATTTTGTTTATAATCTAACAAATAAAGCTTGTCTGAAGATCAGAGTGCAGAGCTAAGCCACTAGTTAGCCAGAGGCCAGACAGTGGTGGCACACAACTTTAATCCCAGCACTCAACAGAGGGAGACTTGAACTCTGTGAGTTCAAGGACACCCTGGGCTATACAAGACTGAATCTGTATAAAAGAGAAACAGAGCTCACACAAAGGTGATCACAGCACTTAGGATCACATGCCTTTAATCCCAGACCTAGGGAGGTGGAGACAGGAGTGATATGGATGGGTGGAGAGGAGAAAATAAGGCGGGAGGAGACAGGAGCTTAGATGTAGTCTGAGGATTCAGGATTCATAGAGACAGATGCAGCATGAGGTTTTGTAGAGACAGCAGCAGTTTGAGGATTCATAGAGACAGGATAGCCCCTTTGGTCTGAGCATTGGTAGAGGTAAGAACTCTCTGGTGGTTGGTTGCTCTGTTTCTCTGATCTATCAGCTTTGACCCCGATAGCTGACTCCAGGTTTTTATTACTAAGGCCTCTATAAATTCACACTACAGAGGACCATGTCTAGTAAGAATCTGTGGAGTTCTCTATTAGGCTATTACCTAGAATTGAACTTAGGCTTTATCTCCTTCATCCAATACCTGAGCCACAAAATCTGAATTCAAGTTTGAAGAAGTTCAGTTATACTGACACACCTCTAATCCCAGCACACAGTAAACTGAGGCAGGAGGATCACAATTTGGAAGCTAAACTAGACTATAAAACAAGTAGTTCTCAGTTAATACAGTTAAGGTCCTACTTGAGTTTTGTTCTTTAGGTACAATTTACTATTCTAGCTAAAAGAATTTTTAACAGTATTTTTCTCTCTCAGCTCTTGGTTCAATGAAGAAAGCTGGTTGGTGGTCTGTTCCCTCCTATTCCTGGCTCCTAACATGAGTTGGATCACAACATGGAAGTTGGACCACAAGGAGCCCTGCAGAAGGTTCTCACATGAGATGATGGTTGCTTGGGACACGGAGGACACTTCCTGCTATTCTAATCCCAGGTACAATTTAAAAGCACGGTCTCAGGACTCCAAACAGACTAGATCTTGATGTGACAGACTAAAAAGAAATCAAGAGTTGCTGGGCCGGGTGGTGGTGGCGCACGCCTTTAATCCCAGCACTCGGGAGGCAGAGGCAGGCCGATCTCTGTGAGTTTGAGGCCAGCCTGGTCTACAAGAGCTAGCTCCAGGACAAGAACCGAAAGCTACGGATAAACCCTGTCTCAAAAAATCAAAAAATCAAAAAAAAAAAAAAAAGAGTTGCTGGGAGGACTTAAACGCCTGATAAGTTGAGAAGGAGAGCTGAAATTTACTGAGACTGGGCAGACTGTGGACAGGGCTTGTATGGAAAAGGTTGTAATTTGGCATACACATTGGAAGTGAATGTCCATTTGACGTGCATGTGGACTCATCAAACAGAGCTGGCTCTGAGAATGGCGCGCTAGAGGAAGCTCTGAGGTCAAGTTTGTAAAGTCTGTAAAGCGTGCCATGCTTTAGGTCACTCAGAGAAGTAAGTGGATGTGTGATGGGGTGTGAATGCTGTGTGCCCATTCAGCACTGTATCTTCAGGCAGGGAAGGCAGCACCACAGCTGCCAGTGGGATTCTGACACTAGTCTGCATTAGCAGTTACATAACTTGTGGTCACCACCCAAATACACATTGTCCTCATCAGCTATTTGTTAGAGTTCTGTGCCAGTTCTGTGGTTTAAGAGGAATGTGAAGAATTTGAACCCAGCCTGGGAAAAAGGTAGCCACGTAGATGAACAAATGAAAGAAAAATGAAATCCAGCAAAGGTTAGAGGGAATGAGATGAGCTTCACCGAGATAAGCACAGCAGCAACTATTCTCTGAAGCAGAGGGTCTGAAAACTCAGAAGTAACTGCTTAAGTCAAGCAAAGTAAAGGGAAACAAGTTTCCATAGGATACTTAGATCAGAAATAAAGGGGAGAGCTGACACCTGCTGGATTATGGTAAAACCCTGAGGTGGACTCCCACTGTACAGATCAGAAAAGTGAAGTTCTAACAGATTAGATCAGTTTACCAGTACGAAAGTTTCAATTCACATCTGTGTAGTGAGTCTAAAGCTGCTCTCTTTAAACACATCAAGCTCCGTAATGGGATTATATGATAACACAGAAATTGATTTCTAAGAGTTAGCAATCTCTTTGCTTCAGACCTTTGAAAAAATTATTAATCCTGAGCAAAATAGAGAACATTTTCACAAATTGAATCTACTTAATGGTATAAGAGTATAGACAGCCAATCTTCAAATTCTTTCCTGGTCAGAGGTCAAGGGGTCAGGTCCTAAGAGGAACAGTGCAGTCACCAAGCACAAGCAGCAAAGTTTCTCAGGTAGCCAGTGTGCTCCTGTTTCCTACTTCACAATAAAACACACTCTCAACTTTCTAATCTGCAGGGCAGGGCTGGGGAAGGAGCTCAGTAGCAGACTTGCTAAGCACCGCCTGCAGTTCCAGGTTACAGTACTAGCAACAACAAAAGCCAACTTAAACACACATTAAATTAACATTTAAAATTAAAACATTTAAAATTAAAGTGACATAAAATAGAAAGTACACAACTCAGTGGTTAAGCATCTGGGACTTGAGTCCAGCATGTTTTGTTTGACTTTACAAGGAATGCAGCTAAAGGCATCAAGTGAGATGAGTTGCAATGGATCTCAGGGTTTGGATGTGCTTGCTGTGTTCAAAGAACAAGGAACGGTCTTCAAGGTCGAGAAAGTCAAACAGCCCCAGTAGCAAAGTGGTTAAGAAACCTTAGGAACCACTCTATTGTGTCAAGGCAGGTAGTCTACGGGCATAGAGAGCACCCAGGAGAGAAGCATAAACTCAGCCGAGATTCTTACTCGCCTCACAGACACTTCAAGGCCAGCAGTTATGGCATCAGAGAACACAACTCATAAAGGCTGCTGGAAGGTCACTGATGCAAGCAGAGCCAGACATATTGTCTGAGACAAAAGTCTCTGCAAAACCAAGCAATGCCAGTTCCAATGGCTGCTAAAGTAGACCATCTCCAGAATGGAGGTTTATAGCCCTGTCCAGTGCCTGCAGAGCAGCTAGGGTAAGGTACAGGGTCATGGAGCAGGCAGTCAGGGTTCAAACCCAACTCAACTGCCACACAGCTGCTAACCTCCAGCAAGCCACTTGGCCTCCTCATCTGAGAAGGAGGCAATAATGCCTTGCCTTACGGAACACTGACAAAATAGATCAGGGTACATATGTGGTCCATGTAGAGCGGCAGCAGCTATGGCTCAGTTGGGACTTCCTCTTCAATTATCTTCTCCCTAAGTATCTCCCCTAGTCCTACAGGCTAGTACTATGGATCTGCACACAGACACTAAGTTCAGGAATCACCTAGTTCCATGATGCATTCTCAAGAAAAAAAAAAGCTGTTTAGTTGAGTATTCAGGCTTGGGGCACATGGATCTAAAGTCTATTTAACCAGCCTTTAAGCTGTGGAACCCTAGGGTTTCACCCTACTCATATGTTTACAAGATATATGCTACTTTTTGAAGGATCCTGACAGAGGATGCACTGTTGTCTGAGACAGAACTTCTTAGTCATAGCTACAGCCAGAATGTCCATGTTTGTGCTGGCTCAAGATCCATGAATGAGACAGACTTTGCACATGACATAGACTGCATTTCAGCGCAGGGACTCCAGGCTTAGAGAACCCACATCTCTTCACATGAATAGTAATGTGCCTGATCTGTCCCCTAGAGTTATATATCTTCATGACAATGGTGCCAAACACATTCTGCTCTGGTAGGAGAGAATACCTCTACACTCACTGCAAGGATGTCCACTCTACATACATCCTTCAAATGCCCTAGGACAAACAGACACAAGAGAATTACCTACACACCTGGGCTCCTGGCTTAGAAGATTCAATATTGCTAATATGTCAATTCTCCCCTAAATAAACTACTGATTCAACAGACACCCAATAAAATTTCTAAAAGGGTTTCTTGTTTGTACTAAGTGACACATTTATTCTCAAATTCATGGCAAAAGTCTTAAAAACAGTCAAAACAACTTGGAAAAAAAATAGTGGTGAAGGTAAACAAGAAAGGAAGCACTAAGGTAAGATTCATTTTATTTACAATTGAAGATATATCCATATGCAACTTCATGGGTCTCCTATTTCATTCTGCCTACACTTCTGACTTTTCCTTCCATGTCCACCACATATCTACTATTCTGAAGGAGAATGTTTGTGCTGTTTTATAAAATGATCTTTGTTTCAAAGGTGACAACTAAAACTAAAACCTATAGTTGAGAAACATAATGAGGAACTACTAGTATACCAGTTGGCTTTCTAGAGTAGAAAGTTATTTGGGGAGGAGCAGGGATTTGAGAACCCAGTGTCTGAGGGTACCAAGGTTTAAAAGCTGCCACCACAAAAGAATATTCTTCCTCTTCCATCCCCAGAAGCCACACCAACAAAAGAGAAAAGTTATTTTTAAAGAGTAAACATTGTAAGAAAATGGTTCCTGATTTCTAATACACCAATACCTCCTCCAGTTGGGTTAGCATATGACTGACTATACAAGAACATAGCAGAATACTGCTTACCATTCAAAAGCCACCGCAGCAAAGGGATAAATCCAGGGCTCTCACTGATGTATTTCAAGCCTTTTGAATTGATGCTCACATTGTATAGAGACATCAGCATTAGACTGAAATGCAAAAGAATACAGTGCTGACTTTATGTGTTATCCACATTGTATTTCATCTTGAATCATTCCCTAAAGGACCTAAACATATTTACATCTCACATGTCCAACTATAACATATAGGTAGAACAATTACAAAGCGGAAACCATGTTTAATGGTTTAATCTGCAGAAGGAATAAAGGCAAAACAGAAAACAAACATGTTGCAAGACCTGTGTATTGTTAATTCTGTGGCCTTAAAGTACTTAGTTATCAACCTGGATTCCTTAGTAGAACAAATCTTCTGTAACAGAAGTATTCTAAGAGGTACCTTAATGTTTAAAAGGAGAAAAAATGTTTTAAATGGAAGGGGATGATCTTGGGAAGCCACCCAGTAACTCTGCTTAATGAAATGGAAGCTGTCTCCTTTCTAGGGACGAGACCTGGGACAGGACAGAAAGCACTCCCTTGCTATTCTTCAGCCTGAAAAGAAAGTGATGCAAGAGACCACCTTCGTCACCCTAAAGCAATACCTGCTCCATGAGCACCCAGTACTAGAGAACAAGCCAGCCAAAGACAGAAAGATACCAGAAACAGACACAGGGTTACTCATCCTCAGCTGAATCCCAAAGACAAATCGACACCACTGACCAAGTCTAAGGCATAGAAACAAGTTTCTCCTCAAAGACTGCATGCACTATGAGAGAGAACTGGTTAAGATGTTTAATCTCACTGGGTGCTGGAGATAGGACCCAGCGCTTCCACACTAGGCAATGTTCCACTACCCTACACACCTATCCCTGGTCAGATGGTTTGTGACAGAAACCTACAGTTGGAGGTCTACTCATTTTTTAAAAGGAGCACAACAATGAAGTACATTTTTATACAGCACTGGGGCCCAGTTCCAGGACCTTGTGCATACTAAGCAGCCAGATGCTCTCCCACTGAGGCAGCCTCAGTCCTGATAATTAACTACTTAACATAATTATTTAGATGTGGTGTCCCCATCCCTGCCAAGTAAGAATCTAAAACTGTGATTTACAAGTGATGGGGTCCTAACATACTATCTGTATGCTAAGGCTCATCCACTGTGTAACACAAAGAGAACAAACCAACACCAGCCCCACTGATTATAAATCCACACACACACAGTGCTTTGAGCATGTTTTTTGGAAAGGCAGTTGTTATAGTCTGGACCATGTGGTAAAAGCCTAGATGCCACCCTGTGGCAATACTAGGAGGTAGTGGAATTTCCAGAGGATGGGGCTGAAAGGAAGGGTCATTAGGGGGTTCTGGAAAGGAGTGACTGAAAGCTGAGTGTAAAGGGCTCCTCACCTGTAGTGAGGATCCCCGACAAGTGTCATGGAGTAGGGTTCCAGGAGAGGACTTGTTCCTAAGTGGACACTTGGTTCTCAGCTGAAGGCTCTAGCCCAGGTCCCAGTTGGGTTGCCAGACCAGTAAAGGGAATAAATACCCTTACCCTGTGTGGAGCCTAGGTAGTAGATACCGTGTATGACTGAGAGGGGTTTCAGAACATAATAAACATGCATGAAGGTCAGAAGAGAGCAGGAGGGAGGACAGGGCCATTTCTACTCAAGAAATGATGGACTGTAAAAATACGTCACAGAGTTTGAGCTGCACCTAGTCCCTGCTCCTTGAAGTTTCTATTCTCTTTCCCCCACCTGACAGTGTCCTCAGTGTTACCACCTAGGTGGATATCAGTGGAAGTACTGGTGAAGTCTCAGGGCCTTCACAGTAAACTTCACAGCAGCTATGTGTCCTGCAGGAAAGCCAGGCCACCTTTGTAAGCAAACCCACTGAATCACATCTCCCTTGCTTTCTGGAGTACAGGTCTCTCAGCCACATGTGGATTGCCATGCGACCTCTTTCTCAAGAAAGCTCTTATCTGCCAAAGACAATAAATATCTCTGGGTTAGTCAGGGTGAGGACTGCTGTTTTTGTTATCTGTTTGCTTTAAGACTGGGTCTCCTGTAGCGTAGGCTGGCCTTGAACTCTCTATATAGTTGAGAGTGAACTTGAACTTATGTTCTGATTCTCCCACCTCTATTTCCAGGGTGTAAACTACAGGTGTATGCCACTGTACCTGATTTAAGTGATGATGGGGTTGGCCTCCTGTGTACTAGGCAGGTCCTCTAACAATTAGGTCATAGCCTCAGCCTCAGGACTGTACTTTAAAATGCTTCTAGAAATATTTCCACAAAGTATTTTAAGACAATAGCAGTATCTGAGAAGCAAGCATGAAGACAAAATGACAAAGCCCACTATCCAGGGAGTGTGTTGCTTCTCTCCCATGTTGTCAACTGAATAACACCTTTAAAAGGCTGGAGAGTTCCACATGTCTAACAAGAAGCAAGAGTTTTGGTTGCCTGTTTTCATAAAGAGTCAAATGGAAATACCAGTGTCACACGAGAGCAGGGGGAGAAAAATTCAGGAAGTAAACAAATTTTTTTTTCTCTTTGGAAAGTTCCTGAAACTCAGGAAAGCCTCTCCTGGAATTATATAACAACCACTGGAGGATGAGCCGCACTGCCTGCTAGCTGTGTGAGGAACTGAAGGAAAACAGCTTCTGTGAGTCATCACTCAAGCTGGGGTCAGAATTTCAGTGATGGAGATGCCTTTGAGTCATACATGTTTCAGTAAGGAACCTCAATAAATTTTGGTTCACTAAAAGTTAGACTTGGTATAAACGTTAATTTGTCTGTTGTCAGTGCCCTATCTGAGCTAAGTATGCTCACATCTCACCCCCAAAAAAGTAACAACAAAGCCATCTGTGTTACAGTTTGGCAAAGAATCTAGCTGCATTCTGCCCCGATAATGAGGACTCAAAAGCAATGGAATTGTTTGGTGGAGGGAATGAGAAAGTATAACAGCATTCAGTTGTGACGTGATTTCTGACCAATGATCTTATCTACTTTGACAGTTAAAGTGAGTGGCAAGTAGAACAGAAAGATATGATCTGATCCAAAAGCATGAGGAAAAGAGAAAGCTACCTGGGAATGCTACGGGTTTTTGAAACCTCAAAATCCAACCCTAGTGACACATCTCAACCAATAAGGCCACACCTACTAATCCTGGCCAAACAGGTCCACTAACTGAGGTCACATATTCAAACATACGAGGCCAATTTCATTCAAACTATCACAACCACTGAGCTATTTCTCCAGCCCAAGATTTTTTTTTTAGAAGTTTTTAAAGAAGGTTTTACATGCAAAAACCAGCAGCTAAAAGAAAACCGAACCCATCTCTGGGCCTGAGGCACCAATTCTGAAAGTGAGCAGCTTTTGAAGGTAAAGTGATAAGAGTAAAAGACCCAGGGGAGAAGTGAGTCACAGAAGAAAAAAAAAAAAAAAAAAAACACCTCAGCACAGCACAGCAAAGGCCCTATTCAAGAGGACTTAGGCTGCTAGCAAAAGCAAAGGGAGGGGCTGGAGAGATGGCTCAGAGGTTAAGAGCATTGCCTGCTCTTCCAAAGGTCCTGAGTTCAATTCCCAGCAACCACATGGTGGCTCACAACCATCTGTAATGAGGTCTGGTGCCCTCTTCTGGCCTGCAGGGATACACACAAACAGAATATTGTATACATAATAAATAAATATTTAAAAAAAAAAAAAACAAAGGGACTTCAGCAGAGAGACTAAAAACCCTAAAGAGAAAAAGGCAAGCAACCTACATAGAAGACAGCCAGGCACATGAGGAAGCCACCTGAGACTAGAACATGCCAATGTCACACACGGGATTAGAAGCTGGTTGTATACATGCAGAAAAAACACCCAGCTTACTGGTATTCCAAATCAAGGGGGGGAAGTGGGTGGATGGCCTGATGATACATATTTTCTATAGGAATAAATAACAAAATGCTGACAAGATGGGAGCATCTTACAGGGTGGTATGGCTGCCCCTTCTCAAAGATCTCACTTCTGGGGAAATTCCTAGAGGAACTCACACGTAGGTCCACAGGAGATATTTACCAAGTGTTCACTGTAGCAGCATATATGCAGAGAAACAAAAAAAATACCCTAAATATTCTCTTAGGCTGAGAAAGGTGATCCAAATATTAGGACTTTTGCAATTTTTGAGACCCCCCCCCAAAGAAATAAATAAGATCCATAGTCAAGTTTTAACACTACCATAAAGAAATCTACGTCCCATTACAGCACACATTGTTCATGCACATAGACATGTCAGTATAAAACACCAGTGCAGACTACAGTGTGGTTCACACAGGATGTCACAGTACACATAGCTCTTACGTCCACTGAACACAACTATAGATTCTGAACAGAATGCATGGAGCAGCTACTTAAAATCTTTGATAGGGAACCAGCAAATGAGCTGAGGCAATGAGAACAGAACATGAAGTACCACCTAACCATCGCTTCCATTGGCCTGCACTCAGACTGCACAGAAGGCTCTAGCTCAGTCTTAAGGAGAAGAAAAGAGGGGAGGTCTAGTGGCAGCCACAATGATAGAAGGAGCTCCAGGCAACTCATAGCTGCGGAAGGGAATGCTTCCCCATCTTGAAGATCTCAATAGCTGCAGACAGAGTTAAGTAGAAGGCACAACAATACTTTAGGCCACACCACACCTCAGCATTCTAGATGGGAACTAAAAAAGGAAGCTTTTAGCCGGGCAGTGGTGGCGCATGCCTTTAATCCCAGCACTTGGGAGGCAGAGGCAGGCGGATCTCTGAGTTCGAGACCAGCCTGGTCTACAAGAGCCAGTTCCAGGACAGGCTCCAAAACCACAGAGAAACCCTGTCTCGAAAAAGCAAAAAAAAAAAAAAAAAGGAAGCTTTGGGGGAATAACAGAGCAGCACAGGCATCATGGAGAGTCAGCCATTCAGGAAAGTGACCCCACAGTACTATTATCTGTAAATTTCAAGCCTCACCTCAAGCTGGGCAAGTGTGGACCTCATCATACACAGCACTATTCCCTGGGTCTCCCACAGGTCCCTGGCAGGCAGCTCCACTAGCATGGGAAACAGCAGGTAAAGGCATTCTAGATATGGGGCTGATACTGAAACAACACTGCAACTTGTAACTCAAATCCAACTGAACTGCTGCATTTTCCAAAGGTTTTAAACATGAGGCTTCTAACATAATATTCCCAATGCCCAGGATGCATCCAAAATTATTAGAATATAAAGAGAAAAAGAAACTATCACTACATGGGAAAAGAGACACCAAGGCCAAGAGGACACAGGTGTTGGAAGTATCTGCCACAGACTTTAAAGAGACTAATGAACTAAATAAGATAAATCTGCAACACGTAAGATTTCCAACACACTTGGAAGAATGTATCACAGGAAAAACCCTAATACCCTCTAATTATCCTGCGATTGGGGCTATATGTCAGCACAGGAATGCTTGCCTTGTGAAAATCACTAGGTTCCATTCCCAGGACTGCTCCCCAAAAAAGAAAAAAATATTTCCTGGCCTAATCTCCAAGACTATATTTACATCATACTCTGATAAACTTAAATTACCTTCCTTGCAAACGAGTTTCTGCAGATGCAATCAATCACCGTTACTAATCAACAGGCTCTGAGCTGATTAAAAATGTTTATCTAATATGCCTAATCTAAACACATGAGCCCATAGAAAGCAACAGAGGAAGTTTGATACACACTTTGATGGATAATCATTATCAACTCAACTGGATTTATAATCACTATGGAAAAGCAACTCTGAAAATGTTGCCAAGAAGGTTGAATTGAGAGGAGAGACCACCCTGAACATAAATGGTACCATCCTATGGTCTGGGATTCTAGACTGAAAAGAAGAATAAAGTAGACTGGCGAGATGGTTCTTTGGGTAAGTATTTCCCACTAATTCTGGCTGTTTTGTATTCCTTGGAGCCCACATAGAGGGAACTGATGCCTATTAGATGTCCTCTAAGCTCCACATATATACTATACCATGCACACAAATTCATGAGCACACATGTGCACAAATATAAATAAGTAAATAATTTAAAATAATTTTCAAAGGAGAAACAGAGCTGAGTACCAGCATTCTCCCTGTTTCCTGACTATGGATGTCATGTGACCAGCTGCCTCACATTCCTGCCACAACGCCTTCCCTTCCATGAGGAGCTATACACTCAAACTGTGAACAAAAACAAAACCTTCATTCTTTAAACTACTCTTGTCACAGTAACCAGAAAGGTAACAAATACAGATGTCAAGTATAAAAGGCTGTGGAATGACAAGGGGCCATGTGAGAAAGATGCAATGAAGCCCGGACAGGATTCAACTGGCCACCTAAAAGACTAGAACAAGGAAGCAGACTCTTCCAGAGCCTACTCACAGCGTCCTGCTGAGCACCACCTTGATTTTGACCTTATGTGATGCCCAGCAGAGGACCTGGCCAAGTTACCTCAGATCCTGACCTACAACACTGTGAGATACGAAATAGAAGTTTGTTGTGATTTATTAAAATGATTCCGTAAAAAATAGCTACAAAATTTAGTACCTGGGTAGGAAATTACGTCAGAGTTCATTCTGAGGCCACTAGAAACATGACCCTAAAATATTTAGGATCCACTGATCATTCTAAGGGGTAAATGTTCCTTTTCTTGATTCATTTTTTTTTCCTGAAATACTGTTTAACCCAATACTCAGCAGGCTAAAGCAGGAGGAACATGAATTCAAGGTCAGCTTGGGCTACACATCAACCCTATCTCAAATAAAATTAGATAAAATATGACCTAAGATATAACACATCCTTTAAATTCTCAGGCAATTTGTTTCCTATTTTTTAGAACTACTACTAAATCAACCACATTTACTTAAAGAGAGGTTCCATCAGCATATTCTAGGCACTGCGCAAGTTGAGAAACTGTGAGTTACTGTCTACATACACTTTGAGTTTGGTGCACTGGCCAGGCTTTAAGTCCCCCAGCAGCTGCAACATGGTGTCCAAGAGCACCCGACTGGAATTCACCAAGAATTCACGACCACATGCAATGGCGGCAACATCTGCAAAAGACAGAATAAAGCATCAAGACCACAGGTGCAGCACAGAGAGCACATAACGGTGGACAGAGAGAAGTGACTCTACCAGTTTTCCACTAACTTCCACACACGCATCATGGCGTGAACACACCTTCATTCTCACTCTACCTATCTCTTGTCTTGCTCACACACACACACTAATAATAATAATAGTAATAATTAATGATAAATAATAAGCTTTTTTCTAAAAGATCACAGGTGCTTCACAATCTGAAAAATTCTGATTAGCAGATAGTATATTCCCTGACTACAGACTCAAAGAAAGCAGCATTTAACAATGGTGCTGTTCAATTGATGCAAAAATACTAAATAAAATACTGGCAAATCTAATTAAAGAACACATCAGAACCATCATCCACCATCATCTGGTCAGCTTCATTCCTGAGATGCAGGGATGGCTCAAATTACGAAAATCTGTCAACGTAATCCACCATATAAACAAACTGAAAAATAAAAAATACATGATCATCTAATTAGATACCAAAAAAGCTTTAGACAAAATACAACGTCCTTCATGATAAAGGTCTTGGAGAGAGAAGGGATACAAGGAACATATCTAAACATAATAAAGGCAATATACAGCCAGCCACCAGCCAACATCAAACTAAATGGAGAGAAACTCCCAGCGACCCCATTGAAATCAGAAACAAGAAAAGGTTGTCCACTCTCTCCATATCTATTCAATATAGTTCTTGAGGTCCTAGTTAGAGCAATAAGACAACAAAAGGAGGGGCTGGAGAGATGGCTCAGAGGTTAAGAGCACTGACTGCTCTTCCAGAGGTCCTGAGTTCAATTCCCAGCAACCACATGGTGGCTCACAGCCATCTATGGTGAGATCTGGTGCCCTCTTCTGGCAAGCATACATGGAAGGAATGTTGCATACATAATAAATAAATCTTTAAAAACAAAAAGACAACAAAAGGAGATCAAGGGGATACAAATCAGAAAAGAAGAAGTCAAACTCTTACTATTTGCTGATGATATGATAGGTTATATAAGCGACCACAAAAATTCTACCAAGGAATTTCTAAAACTCATAAACATTTTCAGTAATGTAGCAGAATACAAGATTAACTCAAAAAAAAAAAGTAGCCCTCCTGTACACAAATGATAAATGGCTGAGAAAGAAATCAGAGAAACATCACCCTTCACAATAGCCACAAATAGCATAAAATATCTCGGAGTAACTCTAACCAAACAAGTGGAAGACTTGTGTGACAAGAACTTTAAATCTTTGAAGGAAGAAAATGAAGAAGACACCAGAAAGTGGAAAGATCTCCCGTGCTCTTGGGTAGGTAGAATTAACATAGTAAAAATGGCAATCTTACCAAAAGCAATCTACAGATTCAATGCAATGCCCAGCAAAATCCCAGCAAAATTCTTCACAGATCTCGAAAGAACAGTACTCAACTTCATATGGAAAAGAAAAAAAACCCAAGATAGCCAAAGGAATCCTGTACAATAAAAGGCATCACAATCCCTGACTTCAAACTCTACTACAGAGCTACAGTACTGAAAGCAGCCTGGTATTGGCATAAGAACAGACAGGAGGACCAATGGAACTGAAATGAAGACCCAGGTATTAATCCACATACCCTCGAACAGCTGATTTTTGACAAAGAAGCAAAAAACATCAAATGAAAAAAAGAAAGCATATGGTTCTGACATAACTGAATATCAACATGTAGAAGAATGGAAATAGATCCATATCTATCACCATGCACAAAACTCAAGTCCAAATGGATCAAAGACCTCAATATAAAGACACTGAACATCATAGAAGAGAAAGTGGGAAGTACACTTGAAAGCATTGACACAGGAGACCATTTCCAAAGTATAACTCCAGTAGCATAGACACTAAACAATAAATGGGACCTTCTGAAACTGAAAAGCTTCTGTAACGCAAAGGATATGGTCAATAAGACAAAACGAGAGCCTATAGAATGGAAAAAGGTCTTCACCAACCCCACATCAGACAGAGGTTTGATCTCCAAAATACATTAAGAACTCAAAAAATTTGTCATCAAAAGAACAAATAATCCAATAAAAAAATATGGAATACAGACCTAAACAGAGGAATCTAAAATGGCTGAAAGACACTTAAGGAAATGTTCAACATCCTTAGTCATCAGAGAAATTCAAATCAAAACAACTCTGAGATTCCATCTTATACCTGTAAGAATGGCCAAGATCAAAAACACTGGTGACAAATTATGCTGGAAAGGTTGTAGGGTAAAGAGAACACTCCTGAATTGCTGGTGGGAGTGCAAGCTGGTATAGCCCCTTTGGATATCAGTGTGGCAATTTCTCGGAAAATTAGGAAACAACCTTCCTCAAGACCTAGTAATAGCACTTTTGGCTATATATCCAAAGGATGCTCAACCGTGCCACAAGGGCATGTGCTCAACTATGTTCATAGCAGCATTTTTTGTCAATGCCCCTAGACCAAAAAATGGATAAGGAAAATGTGGTACATTTACACAATGGAGTACTACACAGCAGAAAATATTACATCTTGAATTTTGCAGGCAAATGGATGGATCTAGAAAACATCATATTGAGTGAGGTAACCCAGAAAGACAATTATCATATGTACTCACTCATAAGTCGTTTTTAAACATGAAGCAAAGAAAGCCAGCCTACAAATCACCATCCCAGAGAACTTAGACCACAATGAGGACCCTAAGAGAGACATACATGGATCTAATCTACATGGGAAGTAAAAAAAGACAAGATCTCCTGAGTAAATTGGGAGCATGGGGACCATGGAAGAGGATTAAAGGGGAGGGGAGAGACAGGGAGGGGAAGCAGAGAAAAATGTAGAGCTCAACAAAAATCAACCAATCAATAAAAAAAATATACATTTATTGATTAGATAGATAGATAGATAGATAGATAGATAGATAGATATACAAAAAAAACAATGGTGCTGTTCATGGAGCTGACATGATGATGAATGAGGACCTGACAACTGTAAGAGCTACTACAAATCAGAAAGTGATGTCATAAACCATGGAACAGAGCACTGGGACCTGGGTGTCTACAGCATCCTGCCCCAGAACACCATACCAATAGATATCTGGTCCAAGCAGGAAGTGGGACTGATGATCAGTCTTAGCTGAGATCAAGTATTAAAAAATCCTTCAAGAATTGACTAATGATTTCTAACTATGACATAAATGGGAATCATATGTCAAAGGTAGAGCATGAAAACAATCTGAACAGACTTTCCTAAATGCTTTTCCCTATTGTGATCAGCAAATACCTTGTTACATACTTCAAGCTCTGCAAATGGGTGTGGAGACCAGACCAAGTTATTATACTGTCCCAGGGCTAGTACAGCCAGTACTAGCCCTACCAGTCCAGTATCTACACATAACTGCAAGTATTTATCAGCAAATATTTGTACACAATACTTATACAAATAAGACTCATACAAATCCCAGTATACAATGTGTTCTCTCTACATCTCCTCTCTCTTCCCTCTCTCCCTCTACCCACACCTGTGCATCAGGATATAGCTCTTAACTACTGCTCCAATGGCATACATGCTGTCAAGCTCCCTGCCATGATGATGATGGACTAATCCTCTGAAACTGTAAACAAGCCCCCAACTAAATGCTATCTTTTATGAGTTACTGTGATCATGGGGTCTCTTCACAGAAATAGAACAGTGACTAAGAGAGGTACCTAATCTCAAGACAGCCTTCTCTGCAGCTATCCTGGAGCCAAGTTCTTTACAGAACAGAGAACACCACATCAAGATTTTCTGCGATTCATCCATAAAGGTGAAAATTCTGATCTGCCTTCACCTGCAAAATCAACACTCAGAAGGGTCTGTCTACCAGGACTGAATGAAATCCCAAGTTACCTCTCCCACGTCTTAAACTGAAATTCACAGACCTATGTAAAATCCAGATGCAGTCCTGCAACATTACTGTGTGCAGTTTGCATTTGATCCTGCACAGTATACTGACTATGGGACTTCCTCGCTGATCCAACTACAGAGAAACACAAGTTTCCAACAAAAACTCCGCTTCATTGTGTAGGGTCAGCTCCACTAACTTAAGTGTCAGCAAGAAAACACTACAAAGCCAAAACATTGCAAGACAATTAGAAGAATTCTATAATAAACTGAATATTATAAGTGACCAATGCCAATTTTCCCAAGTTAGCAAGACACTTAACATGACTGAGTTATTATCAAAGAGGTCAGAATCATGCCCATGGAATACCAAAACCAAAAAGCCTTTGGTGATCTCACAATATCAATTAGCAACCACCTCTCTAGCAACCAACCCCAGAACATAAAGTTTTTAATCTTTATGAAAAGTCAGGCAGGGTCATAGGGGATGACTTCATCTCCTGCAACATCTACAAACATTTGTTACACTTGTCTGCTATGCCCACACAATAGAGTGGCAGGAATATCACAAACCTCCTACAGCACGCAGTACTCCTACAGCACCGCATGCCAGTGCCAAGTGGGAAACATGCTGTGTGCAAGACTCCTGAAAGAGCAGTGTGTACCAGAGCCTGTCCCTGCTCCAGAAACCTAGGCTTGTCACAGAACAAGTAAGGGAGGCTGATTAGGGAGAGATGGCAGACAAATACAGAAGGAGGGAGGAGAGTAAAACCACAGTAAGGTGTCTGAAAACACAAAGAATCTCACACACACACACACACACACACACACACACCTAAACATATACATACACAGTTTAAATGAATTTTTTCCACCTGGACTGACAATGAGTGTCCCCCACCCCCACAAGAGCCTTGACTACCTGACAAAAGCCCAACACCAGTCATTAGAAACCCTCTTTGATCCAAGAGATCCAAAAACATTATAGGCTATTGCTGTTTTCCTTGATTGCCCCCCAGAGATAGAAAATAAATCCCTAATGCTGAAGCTACCATGTACTTTGGACACAGAACCCAGAAGATTCAAGCAGAATCTTACCTGAAGGCTTCCTCCTTGGGGGACTGGCTTTATGTTATCAGAAAATACCATGCAGCTTCCAAAGGAAGGAAGCAACCAACAGCCCTACCCAGCTATGATAGCTATGAACCCCAACAATGACGGGCACAGCAAGATATCCCTAAAGGGGCTTAGTGGTACCTATTGGTACTTAGTGGAACTGTCTAAATTGGACTTAAGGTCCACTCAACAAAAGAGAAATCATGCTTGGTACTGAGAACCTAGCCAACTACCTGGGGCTAGTAAAGTCATGGGTCATGGAGAAGAAACTTCTTTACTAAACCTGCTATTCTAACTACAGTCTTAAATGCTTTTCCTTATACTCACACAGAAGTATAACTCTCATCCCTTATCAAAGAAACTTCTCTTTCTAACATGTGGAGACCATTATAGTCAAATGCAGTTATGGAGCCCAGCTCCAGGTGCTGCATCAACAACAGAACTCCTCTACCTAAGGATCAGGATCATTGTAGAAAGGAGGGCAGAGAATATAAGCGCCAAAGGAACAGGAAGTTTGCTGTGAGATTAAGTCTCCTAGAAATGTCAAAGAAGCTATGCCCATGAGTCTCACCAACATGACTGCCTAAACCATACCTGAACAAGAATGACACCCATAGACAAGCTAACAGGGACATGGGGAAGCTCACAAGACCTCAACCCTAAACAAAGAACTACAGGTAACTAAGGAATGCTGGAGTAGGAGAAACAGTAGGAAAGAGCACACCAATTAGTTATCCAACACCAAATGGTCACCCCTGAAAACATACATACAATTAACATTATACAAACTGAGCAGTTTGTATTTATATATTTGGAACACACAACACACATACACACACACACACACAAATTATTAAAGAAAAATAGACTAGGTTGGAGAGATGACTCAGCTGTTAAAAGGCTGACTCAAAACCAAAAATATAAGAAAAATAGATCATGAATTTAAGAGAAAGCAAGAAAAGGTAGATGGGAGGGTTGGGAGAGAGAAAAGGAAAGGGGGAAATGAAGTAATTATATTATAATCCCAAAATTTATTTAAAACTGAAAAATGTAATGTTAGAGCTGGGGCTGGAGAACGATGATGGAGTCTGCTTGGCATTTGCATACATGAGGCCAGTCCCAAAATTCAATCCCTAGCAACATGAAAAAGAATTAATATACAGAATTTTTAAAAGCTGGGCATGGTCACAAATTTATAATCCTAACATTTGAGATGCTGAGGAAGAAGGATTCGATGTTCGATAACAGCCTGGGCTAGTGAGTTTGAGGCCAGCTTAGACTACTTAGTAAAACCTTGTCTTAAAAAAAAGAAGAGAAAAAAGGTCACATTGATAGGGCAACGATTACCAAATGCTACCTAAAATGCATAGCTAGATTAGGAGGCAGGGTATGCACTTATGATTTATGAGTCTACAACAGTAGGAAGAGTAGGCAGAAAAGCAAGTTTTCTACTTGTGAGTTAGGTGAGTCACTCTTCACAGATCACCATTCTTTCATTGCTTTATTGCTCAGGCTGCCCTACCCCGAACAATCCCTCACTTCACATGTGCTATGACCTGCCACAGACCAGCAGATGACAGGATGTAAGTCCATCAGAGCAGGTAGGGTCCCCCATGCAGATGAAGAAACCCTGTCTAAAGGAGCTAACCTGGGAAGTGAACCATCTTGTGTTAAAATCCAGACTTTCAATGTTCCACCTAACCTGTCATTAGAAATTGTGGTGGTTTAAATAAGAATGATACCCATAAGCTCATATGTTTGAATGCTTAATCACTAGAGAATGGGACTAGTTGAAAAGATTAGAAGAATTGGGAGGTATGGCCTTGGCGGAAGTGTAAAACACTGGGGTGGGCTTGGGCTTTAGGGTTTCAAAAGTCCATCCAATCCCAGTATCTTCTCTGTCTGCAGATGTAGCTCTCAAGTACTTCTCCAGCACCATGCCTGCTGCCATGCTCCCACCATGATAAGAGACTAAACCTCTGCAACTGTAAGAAAGTACCTAACTAAATGCTTTCTTTTATAAGAGTTTCTGTGGTCATGGTGTTTCTTCACAGCAAAAGAACAATGACTGAACAAGTAAGAAATTTCATATCAGTTTTTACTTAGAATATGGTAAACTAGAAATAAGAGCTGCTCCATTCTTCCCCAGGGAGGAGAAGACAAGGAAAATTCTACAAAATCACAGCTTTTCTTAAATACATCAGAGAGCTAAGGCTGGCTGGGAAACACCTAATGAAAGAAGCCAGACTTCCAGGCAGAGATATGGGACAAACATGTTCAACCTGGAGCATATGCTCAAAGTCACAACAAACCAGATCAAATGTTTAACAGGCCACCAGGACAGCTGCTGCATGAGGCTGACTATGGAAGAAGGACAGGGCTCCACTCCCTACCTGGGTGTTATACTGCACATGGGTTTATTGAAATTCTCAGAACTTCTAAGAGATAAAAAGGAACTGGGAGAGTGTGTAAAATTGGAAGATCAGCTTGACAAGCAAGAAGAGATGTAGACCGCTAGCCCATGGTCTCCACAGTGCTGCTGTACCCACTGAATGGCTCCAGGAGCTGAAAAGCACAAACTTCTGTGGCACAAACCCACTTTAGCAATGCACCACCAGAGTTGAAAACCTTTTTCAGGCAAGCCTATAAGTCTTCTTTTCACATGTACATGACTGTGATTTTAGCCAAGTGAGCCTGAATGCTGGGCAACAGGATGCTCTACCCTCTAGTGACTGTCTGCCTCTTGGCTCACCAGCCAGAAATTCATGCAGTTTAAATTCTCAACCAGCAAAATGACAAAATACATGGATAGTAGACTTTTAAGGTTACTTTTAGAACTAATCAAATGTACAAATGCCTTCTTTTAAATATAGCCTTTAAGGCCTGACACAGGAGGCTGAGACAGGAAGACTGAGAATATAGTTGCTATGATGAATGGGCAGAGAGCTGCCCTGCTTCAAAGTGCCAGTCACGCCAGAGTAATGAACTTTCAGCATCCACCCAACAAGAAACACCACTGGAGGCTGGAGAGATGGCACAGAAATTGAGAGCACTGGCTGTTCTTCTTGAAGAGCTGGGTTTAATTTCAAGCACCCACATGATAGCTCATTCCAGTTCTAGAGGATCCAACAGTCCCTTCAGGCTTCCACAGGTACCAGGCATACATGGCAGTGCATAGGCATATATACAGGCAAAAAAAAAAACCTATGCTAAAGGATAAAATAAAAATAAATCTTAGAAAATAAATAAAATAAGTACCACTAACTTTTAAGGGATTTTTTTTAAATGCCAGCCAGGTATAGTAGTGTACCTATAATCTCTGGACTCAAGAAGTCGAAGCAGCAGGATTACTTCAAGTTTGAGCACAGTTTGTCTCAAATTTAAAGGAGTAGGAGAAGCAGAGGTAGTCTACACAGGCCTTTCGTCATACTGATCTCAGTAAGAAGGTAACAACACAGGGCTGGAAAGATGACTCGGTACAAAGTACTTGCCAAACAAGCATGAGGACTGGAATTCAGACGCTCAGCACCCATGTAAATTCTGGGTAGGCATGGCAGCTTCCTGTAATCTCAGCACTCGGGATGCAGAGACAAGAGGTCGCTGGTACAAGCTGGCAAGCTAAACTAGCCAGAATCACTAAGCTCCAGGTTCAACAAAACCTGCCATAATCAATAAGGTGGGGAGTAACCAAAGAAGATACCCACCATCAACTCAGGCTACATATATACACACACGCGCTTTTGCACACGTACCTACACCAACGTGTGAGCACACATCATCATCATCATCATAATGCAAGGGGAAAGGGCACTTTTTTCTCATATTAACAGCAAAAATCAATCTAAGAGTACACAGGATACAACAGAGATGAAAGGTCACAATTTAAGTACTTTATTTTATTTTTGTGTGTGTGTGTGATTTTTGAGACAGGGTTTCTCTGTAGCTTTTTGGTTCCTGTCCTCGAACTAGCGCTTCTAGACCAGGCTGGCCTCGAACTCACAGAGATCTGCTTGCCTCTGCCTCCCGAGTGCTGGGATTAAAAGCGTGCACCACCACCGCCCGGCAATTTAAGCACTTTGTCAACCTCATGAAAGTAGAGTTTCCACACCCACTGGATCATCTCACCTACTGTACTAGGAATCTCTAGTACAGTACTAGTCTATCTCTCACAAAAATTTTGAAGGTTTGGAATGTTACTGTTATTTTTTTATTTCGTTTTTTGAGACAGTCTTGCTATACAGCCCAGGTTGACCTCAAACTCTTAATCCTCCTGCCTTAGGGCCTCCTAAATGATGAAATTGCAGGCTTGTGCCACCATGCCAGCTCCTTTATAGTTTTGCTATGAAATTCTTTTGTAGCATTTCTTCAGTGAGAGGTTCCATTTATTAGCTTCCAGGAAAAACTCACTGAAAACACAAAGTTTTTAGAATCCTTTAAGTGGAATTTAGTTTAAGTTTAGCTCACAGCTTTTGCTTTAGCCAGACATGAATAAAACAGCAAGGATTCCAAATGACAAGCATCTAAATGTACAATTTGTGGCTTTTATTCTTTTACTTCTGTGATGTATAAAAATAAATACCAGCCAGGTGTGGTGGTGCACGCCTTTAATCCCAGCACTTGAGAGGTAGAGCCAGGTGGATCTCTGAGTTTGAGGCCAGCCTGGTCTACAGAGTGAATTCTTGGACAGTCAGGGCTACACAGAGAAACCCTGTCATGAAAAAACAAAAATAAATAAATAAAAATAAATAGCAATCAAATCAATCTGTGTTTCCTTTAGATCAGTTAGTTCTAATAAGTGTGGGTGACCACAAGTCCTTGGGGCGCTTTTCCATACTAGAGACACCAACACCTAGATCAACTTACTGAGATAGACTCCAGGGTGAACATGGTGCTCCAGACACTGACACACACAAATCCCTAACTATAATTAACAACCGTGATATATGGCACTATGTCTGAAAAGTTACCTACTTGTTACAATTCCAGCCAGTGCAAATACAAACTGACTCTCATCAGAATCAACCTCCCTGACGTCCCCATCCAATGACTTTACGAAACTCTCCATTGTCTGACCAGTGATGTTGAAAAACTTCAATGCTTTGTCCTGAAAGTTTAAAAATAAAAGAATACAAGTGTCAGATCTTTCCACATAAGCCAATGTAATATCACAAATGTGCAAACCATACAGAAGAAAGACTAGCTGCAATTACAGAAGCAATTATAAAAAAACCTGTGCTCAAAGTTCCCAGGGAGGGAAGCAGTCAATGCTGGGACTCATACCAGACCACAGTAGAAAGAATAAGTGACTTCTGAGTGTTCAGCCCTAAATGGGACATCTGTGTCCACCACCACCACCAAGGTTCAGGGAACATCACAGAAGACCGGGTGGAAGAATGTCAGAGCTGGAGGGAAAAAGGAATGCTTTGAAATGCTGTCTTCTGAACATTCATGAACTCAAAACTGCTGTGGTTACCTGATGTGGGATTCCCCTCTGTATGCTGCAAATACCATTGGTTAATAAGGAAACTACCTTGGCCTGTTGGTAGGGAAAACTAAACCAAATGCTGGGAGAAAGAAGGGTGGAGTCAGAGTGAAGCCATGTAGCCCCACCGGAGACAGATGGACAGAACTTTATCCGGTAAGCCACAGCCACATGGTGATACACAGATTAATAGAGATGGGTTAAATTAAGATATAAGAGTTAGCCAATAAGAAGCTAGAGCTAATGGTCCATGTAGTTATTTGAATAATACAGTTTCTATGTCTATTTTGGGGCTGAGCGGCTGGGAACCAACAAGTGGCTTCCTCCAACAAATTGGAGCCAACGTGACCAACTAAAATCCACAAGACCTGGACAAATCAAGCCAGTCCCCATGCTAGCATGGATGGGACATGGGCTTATGAGGCATTATGCCTCACTATGCCTCACTGAGGAGTTACTAACGATTGATGGCTGCTGGAGGAGTCACTGTTCTTCAGGGCCATGGACACTGGTAGGTTCATGCTCTAGTGGGTAGCTACATCCATGCATGCACAGCAGCACTAACTAGACTTAGTGAAGTATAAAAAGGAAGTGGAAATAAGAAATAGAAGGGAGATTTGAGTTATCTATGACTGAGATATACTTTACTTGTATGTGTGTGTGCATATGTGTATAAATTTGTCAAGAACCATTTAGAACCAAGGCACATTTTAGAATGTGAAAACAAAAAACAAAACCTGAGAAAACGGTATAAGGGAACGTCTTGGGTGAGAGAATGTTCTATGACTGACTGTAGGGATGGTTTCCCAACTCTAGAAATTTTCTAAGAAACCAGTAAGAACTATGTAAGCCCAGGGGATAAATAACAACATAGAAATCATCTTTATTTTTAAGACAAAATCTCGTACAGCCCAGGAAATTACGCTTTATTAAAGTTCAACAAATTGTTAAGGACACTTAAGTCTCCCTCAAGCCAAACACTGCGTCCTCTAAGCAGTAACTAATGTAGCTCTGGCTTTTAGCCAAACATCCCCCCTCTCAACTTCCATTCCTTCTCCCAGAGTCAAACCCTACCTGCTGGTGGTGGTTTCTTTTCTTAGCTGTCAACTGCACCCTGACACCACACCTGTCTCAATCATACAGCTCTCAGTGGCTCCTTCTTCCCCATCTGCCCTGCCGAGAGCCACACACCTCACTCAAAAACACTTGAAGACTCTACAGCCCTCCTGCCTATGGATGGGGGGTGATGGTGGGAGAACGGGACCAGCAACTGCTTACCTCCAATCACAAAATGGCATTCCACCTATACCTTATCTCCCAAGCTGCAGTGCATGACCCTCCACTCAGTCAAGGGACCTTCAGTCCTAACACAAGCCAGATTTCCCACCTATATCTTTGATTTGACTAATTCTGTCTTTTTTTTTTTTTTTTTTTTTTTGCGCCACAGCAACGTTTATTGAGAACGGGGAGGGGATCAGTCCTTCTTGGCCGCCGCCTTCCTCATGGTGGCCAGCACGTTGCTCAGCTCCTCCGCTTCCTCTTGGCGCCTAGGCGCGTGCCCACCGGCTTCTTGATGAACTTGAGCGAGCGCTTGTCCTTGGACACCTTGAGCAGCTCCATGGCGCGCCGCTCGTAGGGCGCGAAGCCGCACACCTTCAGGATCATGTCCCGCACGAACTTGGTGTGTTTTGTGAGGCGCCCGTGCCACCGGCTGTGCCTCTGCTGGCTTACGTTCTTCGTCACTTTGTGGCCCTTGTTGAGGCCCAAGGCCATGGGGTAGCGCAGGGCCATGGCTGCTCCTCTCCGATGGCGGCCGCCACCTAATTCTGTCTTCTTGAACTCTTCTTACAATTTACTGCCATTTCTACCTATTCTTAGGTCCATTTCAAATTCCTTTCCTTATGAAGTTCCCTAACATACATACATATGTGTGTGTGTATACTAGACACAAATATATGCCAAATTCTTAAATTATCTATTATCCATGAGGTAAAACACATATGGGCACGTTTAATGTTGTTAAATTTCTTATATATAAATATTAAAATAGTTAATATATCGAAAATTCCCCTTGCGTGTCAGGACAGAAGGACGGTACTTCATTTTACACATCCTCAGAGCATCAGGTGACACAATGAACACGGCAGGTGTCTGGCAACCACCTGATGAATGAACTAAAGCAAATTTACATCATGGCAGGACTTAGCAATCAATGTCACAGCAGATGTGCTGTCTCTTTCAGGTCACAAGACACATTCAACAGTGCCAGACAACTTACTCCTCCCAGAATGGCTTTGACGACTTCCTCACTGCTAGAGACTCCCCAGAGGAGGGTACAGGTAACTGCTCCCATTTGTGTGCAGTACTCTGCCTGCTGGAGGAGCTGCTGTTTCGCCTCATTCAGCTGTTGTCGAAGAGCCAACTTCTCCTAAATTCACAACAAAGTAGAACAAGATGACAGACAGCTAGCATTCAATCTCAATAATCTCTATTACATGCTCTTTCACAATGATACTTATTAGAGAGAAAGCATTCAGAATTCTAGAAAACAGCTTCAAGTAGAATATAGCTCTTTCTGAGCCACAATTCACATCTAAACAGTAAAGTTCAAAGCTCAGAGAAGAACACATGGCTTCTTTTCAGCTTATGGATAATTGTGAAGAGCAAAATTCATTCATTCAAGTAAAAAGAAAACTAGCGGTGGCATCTGTGCCAAACGACCACACCCAGAGCAGCAACACCAGACTCAGAAGCAAAGCAGCAACCTAGCGTGCAGCCTAGACTGCACAGCACTTCTCATCAGGGAGGCTGCCATGGCCAACATTCAGTCCACTGACAAACACAACACTGAGTTTAAGAAAAGAACTGTACAAAGTCTCCTAGGCCAGCGGGTCTCAACCCCTTTTGGGTGGAATGACACTTTCACAGGGGTCACCCAAGACCATTAGAAAACACAGATATTTACATTATTATTTTTAATAGTGTTATGTGAACTTTTACTTTTTTGGCTTTTTTTTGAGGGGGGGCACCATCCAACTCCTAAATAAATCACAAGTGGAGGCTTATTCTTAGTTATAAATGTCCGACCTTAGCTTAGCTTGTTTCTTGCTTTTATTAACTTATATCATCCCAACTACCTTTTGCCTCTGGGCTTTTATCTTTCTCTATTTCTGTATACCTTTCTTTCCTTCTTCTTACTCAGTGACTAGCTGGTGGCTGGGTCCTGATGTCATCCTCTCCTTGTTCTCTTGTTCCTCCTTCTTTCCCAGACTTCTATTTATTCTTTCTGCCTGCAGCTTTGCCTATCCTTGCTCCTGGCTCACTATTGATTATTCATCTCTTTATTAGGATCATCAGGTGTTTTAGACAGGCACAGTAACACAGCTTCACAGAATTAAACAAATGCAGTGTAAACAAAAGTCACACATCTGAAAATAATATTCCCCAACATAAAAGTAGCAAAATTATAGTTATGAAGTAGAAATGAAAATAATTTTATAGTTTGGGGTCACCACAACATGAGGAACTGTATTAAAGAGCTACAGCATTAGGAAAAGTGAGAACCAGTGCTGTAGGCAGACTATGAAGAAGCCCTCGTGACTGTCATCAAAGATGCTGGAAAATATGAAAAGCATGTGTGGCTGTGAAATGACACCAGAATCAAACACCAGCCCTAACACCAGGCAGAAAAGCTGTGAAGGTGGGTACTCCAGATATGCTCAGGCCCAAATTCAGGAATAACAAGGCCGTGCAGGCCAGGGAAGGTTTCCTGCCCTCCCTACAGCAGCTCCTAAGAACACCTAAAGCTAGGCTAGTCTCTGGCAGGACCATTAAGGGAAAAAGGGAACCATTCTCCTGATTACCCTCACATTAATACAGCCTAAGGAGTTCTCTTCTCGTCCTCCCCAGTGACCATGTTTCTCTGGTACTAAAACTCCCTTCAAGGAGACAGCATTTCCTGAGAGACAAACTGGGATGGGGGTACCGCTCAGTTGTAGAGCACTTGCCTACCATACAGGAGGCCCTGGGTTCCACCCCCAGCACCACTGAGAGCAATAAACTGAAAAATACAAAAACCTAGGCAAATTCATTTCTATAAAGCATGAGTAGAAAAACAATTTAAATTATGCTGATGGCTAAGGTGGTTTTTTTAAATTATTAAAGAAGTCAATATTCAATAATGAAAAGAAAAGGGCTTTTTGCCTGGGTTTCCAAGAGAATGAGAGGTGGGTGGGAAATTCCCAGCACCTACACTATGGCTAACAATGCCTGTGCTCCAGTCCCAGCACTCTCTTCTGACCTCCATGAGTACCAGGCTCGCCTGTGGTACATATAAATACATGCAGGCAAAATATCCACACATATATAATAAAAATAAATAATTCTAAAAATCAAAATATAAACTATATGCTTTTCATGTCTGACTTAATGATACTACAGTCTGGATTCCTAGACTGCCCTTCACACCTATGTAACTGAACTGACAAAGTAATGGGTATGTTTATATGAATCATTCCACTCTGTTCTCATTTCTTCCTCCATCACATCCACCATCAATACCAGAGAAAAACAAATATACCATGCTTGCTTCTTCTCAGCTAGCTTTCTAAACTCTTACACAGTTCTAAATCCAGACCATGAAATGGTACCATCTCCATTCAGGGTAGGTCTTTCCAACCCAGCTAAATTAAGGCAACCAGGACAACTCTCCAAAGACCTGAACAGATCTTGACAAGTGCCACTCTCTTCCCAGGAGATTCTAGGTGGCAACATTACAACGGCATACTTGCAAACTGTCATGCCTTTTAAACTTACTGAAAACATACTGGCAAAGAAGAGGCCTTCCCTTGTCTCAGACTCCAACACGTTTATATTAAATGTCTTCCAAAACCCCTCTCTCCAGAGCTCTGGAGCAGGGAGAAGGAAAAACAGCAAGTAGTTGTGTTCTTGAGAACAAAGAAGGTGAACCCTTTCCAACAGAGGTTATTATTGTTGATCCCATAGTATAACATGCCTGCAGTGGGAACTAAATGGAGAGCCTTCCAACCAGTAGCTCCAGCTACCTGCTTTTTCCCCAGTCCATTTCTGCTAAGTGTTGCCAGACTCCACTGGACGACAGTACCTTTGTTTACTCTCAATCAGGCTACACCAGTCACATTTGATGATGTTATCTGTTACTTACTCTTTGCTCTTTTACTTTTGCTTGCTACATACTTAATAAACTCATTTATCTGAAACTGCAGGTACAGGAACTTCTAAAACATGTCAAAACAAAACCCTGATCCATTTTTTAAAAAGCAGTAAGGTAAATTTTCAAACTCCAACCAGGCATGGTAGTACACACATGTAATCCCAGCACTCAGGAGCCAAAGGGTTCAAAGCCAGACTGAACTACATAGAAATAGTCTATCAAGGGGAGTTGGGGGAGGGAAGCCATAGGCTAAAAAAAAAACTGTATCATATATTTATTTATATTTATAAAAGGTCTGCCATACATACCTTACCGGTTCCAGATCCACTGAGCCACTCAAACTCAGTACTATATCTTGCCCACACGGCAAGCACTTTACCAAATAAGCCATCTCCCCAGCCTAGTAATAATTTAAATAGCATTTACAATGAATTAGATAGCAAAAATAATCTGATAAGTTAAGGCCTGTAAGTGTAGGCTGTATGCAAATACTACACTTTCTCTTGGAAGGATCCTGAACACCCTAAGACTACCCACAAGGGGTTCTGGAGCTGATTCCCCTCAGATACTGAGGGACAACTGTACCTGAAAGAAGACAACTACTCCAATCAAACAGGGAAGAAGTGTTTAGGTTCTATGGATGCTACAAGGGGAGAAAAGGCATCATTAGTCTTATTCAGCTGTGACCCCTACAAGCTAGACCCACTGGTGCAATAGTAGCACAAATGCTATGGGGGTAACTTTCTGATTGGATTAACTTCACTCCACAAGATGAAATTTTTTCCCGGTACTGAGTGAAACTCATACCTGGCTAAGTCCTAGGCCTTAAGGAAGAATAGTATTACTATTCTGTTGAATGGACATAGTAATAAATTTCCCCTAAGTTCTTTTCTTTATACCTAAGCATTAGTATATCTCTCAACCTGCATTAACAAACTTCTTTTTGGAGAATATGGCAATTGAGACTTACAATTGATCAACATGCAGAATACTAGAGTGCTCAACCCTAAATAGGATATCCATATTACACACACATACACAGGGAGGGAGGGAGGGAGGGCGAGCACTCAAGGACCACTGTGGAAGAGGGAACTTGAAGAAGTAGAGTTTGTAGAAAACAGCTTCTGCTGGACATGACAGTGCAGCTGCACACGTGAACTCATGGTAGCTGGGGCTACAAGCACAGGGCTTGCGCAAGGTCAAGTCAGACAAGATTCCAACATGGATGATGAGGAACTCATAAAATCCCACCCCTAACTGAAGAGCTCTTAGCAGCTGATGGCTGCTGAAGGAAAGAGAATCACTTTTCTCCAGGGATATGCTGCATGAGAGACTACTCTTTGTAGATGGAGACTGCTCTTTTATTTCCCGGCCACCCAGACCCGAATAATCAAACAAAAACTATGTTAATTACAACACTGGTTGGCCCATTAGCTCAGGCTTCTTACTAACTGACTCTTACATCCTTAATCTGTGTATCAGCACAAGGCTGGGGCTTACTGGTAAGGGTTCAGCATCTGTCTCCTTTGGCAGCTACATGGTGTCTCCTTGACTCTGCCTACTCTCTCCCTATATCTTTGCTTAGTTTTCCCACCTAGTTCTTTCTGCCCTGCCATATGCTGAAGCAGCTTTATTAACCAAAGGTAATAAAACATATTCATAGCATACAGAAGGGAATCCCACAGCAGCTCATGCTCCTATAAATAGTCTCATACCCATGCACAGCCAGACAACATTAAATGAACTCAATGGGTATTAAGAGAAGGAGGGGCCTGTGAGAGTAAAAGAGCATGTGCAAGCTCAAGAGTGCACATGAAGCTAGGAGTGAAGTGGTGCAAACATGACAGGAGAAGAACTGGAGGGGAAAGATAGATATGCATGGAGAAATAGTACATAAAATGCTATTTAAGTTTTTTAAACAAATATCAAAGAACCCTTCTAAAATCTTTCTATAGTTCATTTCAGATTTTAGCTGGATTATACTACCAGCTAATTTTTTCTTTAAGAGGTTTCTTGAAGGGCTGGAGAGGTGGTTCATCAGTTAAAAGCATGCACTGCTCTTGCAGAGGATTCAGGTTCCATTCCACATCAGGTAGCTGATAATCACCTATACTTCAAGTTCCAGGAAATCTGACACCCTTTTCTGGTCTTCAAGGGGCACCAGTACACACATCGTGCACATTAACTCATACAGGCACACACCATACACATGAATCTAAAAATAAACTTTTAAAAGT